TGCACTGTCGCGTCGTAGAGGGTGGGGGTGGGGGGTTTAGAAGGTCGTCGCAGTGGCCTGGGCAGAGGAGATTCCAGGTTGGGGGTGGGGACCAGTAGTTTTGGGTCAGGGAGGCGGGGGGCGTGTTTGTGAGGGTGCGGAGGGGGATTTGGGTGGTGCGGAGGTGGGGGAACCAGTTTGTGTCGTCTTCGAGGATGAGGGCGGGTGGGTGGGATGTGCTTAGGAAACTTGGGGTGGGGTGTTAGTATCGATGTTCAGAGGTTGATGTTGACGTTGATTTTCCTTCTTCTTCCCCTTCTTCAAACGGGACACCCACACCACACCACACGCCCAGACAAAACCCAAGGCTACCATTCCAAACCCCACAAATGCCCCATCCACGCCCTCGCACTCCCCTTACTAACATACTCCGCCCCGGCCCTAACGTCGTCCACATCCGCCGCCGTCCACCCCGGCTGCTCCGGTGTAACGATGTCGAGGTCGGTCAGGTTGGCGGCCCAGAGGAGACTCGGGCGGCGCTGTGCGGTGGGGTGGGAGACGGCGAGGATGGTGCTGAAGCCGAGGGTGGAGTTTGCGGGGGGGTGAGATGGTGGTGGAAGAGGAGGAGGGAGAGGAGGAGGGAGGGGGAGGGGTTTGGGGAGTAAGGATGGAGGGGGCTTAGAGTAGAGGAATTAATGCAGGGGGTTTGGGTAAGGTGAGGGGGTGAGGGAGATGTTCTGTCATGAGTGTTTGTTGTTGATATTAGAGTAGATGAAGTTAATGCAGGGGGTTTGGTAGGGTTAGGAGGTGAGAGAGACATCTCACCACGCGTGTCTGTTGTTGATCGCTAGAGGTCTCTAGGCCTTTACTTTCCCCTGGATCATGAAATTTTCTGGGTTGGACTGTAAGTGAGGTTGAGAGGCATTGCCATACTGCCAAGGGGTGCGGGTCATCGCAAGTGCAAGGTAGGTGGGTCAAATCGAAGAGGCGCTTGCCCTGCTGTCACCATGAGTCTTTCGTACCTATACGGGGTACATGTCGAGTCAGAAAGCAGGACGCGAGTGGATGGGTTTGAGTTTATAGACGCATGCAGTGTGCTATCATCTAATCAGTAGAGTACGCGATACACGGTCGATGGGATAGAGCCGTCCCAATAGTCTACCTAGCATGTCCACGCCAACAAGACAGACCCACGAACAAAGTGGGGGGTATTTCATGCTGGAGACGAGGGGGGCTGAGGGCTTGTGTAGTAGGGTGTACAGTGTATAGTAGTAGAGGATAGATGAGCGTCTTTTTGCGCGGAATAGACGAGGTGAAACACGGTCGGCAGATGTGTGCAGGCGGGCGGGGTCATACCTAGGGGTCGTCCCCTATAGAGTAGTCTGGGGTACCGGTATGGCTTGTCGTGGGCGCAGGTGGGACAGGATCCTCCTTGTGGGAATTTCTCCTTGTGGGAATTTCGCAGATTGCAGTGGCACCAGCCAGCAAGGCCAGCAAGACCATCATGGCCCAGAAGAAGAGGAGCGTTTCATCCTTCCCCCTCCGTTCGGGCTGGTAGACTACTACTATTGGGTCGCTGGCGGCATCACAACGACCAGGATCATTGTTGTATCCAAGTACTACTCTAGGTACCGGTATGGTGATCGTAGCAGTTAGGCGGCTGGCCCTGCTGCACCAACGCCAGCTTGCTTGTTTTAGGTCGAGTGTTGGCTGGTGGCCTTCGTTTCCCTAACCGCGACTAATAATGAACAAGAATGCGAAGGCCGTTGTAGCCGCCCGCGTATGTGCGCCTGCGTCTGTCTTGCCCTCCTCCTCCCTTGCGCTTCCCCCCCTGCGCCATCCTCCTCCCTCTCCCTCTCCCTCCCCCTCCCCTCTTTCCATGAGCCTGCGCCCGCCCTTGCAGGATCCTGTTTGCGCTGGAACGCGGAGGGATAGGAGCCTGTCGCACAGCATTCTCGTACTCGCACTATAGTACCATGGCCACCGAGATAATACCGCCGTCCACCGCGGCTGGGCAGAAACTCTCCCGCTACCGAAGTGTAAGACGCGCGCAGCAGGAACAGCAGCAGGCACAGATCCAACACCCATTCGGCCAGTTCCAGCACCAGCCGCAACACCGACACCCACACGACCACAACGACCAAGAAGAGCAACAACGACAACAACAACAATACCACCAAGACCAGCCTACTTCACCCGTTACAGCACCTCCCCTGCCTCCCATGCCTGCGTTGCCCGAAATGCAGCCTCCCAAGGACGCGCCCATCAGTAGGAGCATGTCTCGCTATCACCGCCGACCGACGACTGTCTCCCACCCGCACACCACCCTCCCCAAGACACCACATGGGGCCCCCCTCTCCTCCACCACCGTTCCCACGCAGCAATCACCGCCTGCGCAAGCCCAGCAACTGAACCCCCCTGCGCCTCGCAACCGCCCTGTGAGCTCGCCCCAGCATGCGCCGCACACTGCAAACACCGGCCAGCCTCGCCCCAAAACCTCGAGACATGCTTCCGACGACGGGCGCCAGGCCTGCCCTCGCGGCGATGACGCTGCCCGACTCGCCATGCAAAAGGAGAGGGAGAGACAGCGCCTGGTCAGGGAGAAGGACGAAGCGGAGGCGCGCGAGAAGAGGGAGGCCAAGGAGGCCGAATTGAACAGACTGGAAGCACTGCGCTTGCTCGAGGAACAGTCGGTGCAGAGGAACGCTCAACAGGAACTCGAGGATGCAGAGGCACTACGGCGGCAAAAGGAGGAGCTTCGGGCCGAATGGGAGCGTAGTAAGCGCCTACAGAAAGCAGAAGCTCAGAGGGCGATGCAACAAAAAGAAGAACAAGTCCGACGAGCCAAGCAAGAGGATCGGGATCGCAGGGCTGCGCAGGAACAGGCGTCACAGACGTCACAGGCACCGCGTAAAGCGCAAACATCGTCACCGACTGCATCACCGCCAAGACAGGATGTAGGCTTCGGATTGTTCAAGAGAAGAAAGGATGCTGCTCTCTATCCCGATGGGCCACCGAAATTCGCAAGTCCGCCACAAGTAGCCCAAAGTCGGAATGTTGCCGAACCGGAGACGATCCGGCCAGGTGGTGGGGGTGCAGTTCTGGGCATTGATGCTCCCACCTCTGCCGTCAACGCTGGCGATAGGGTAAGTTACAGCTACATGTCTTGACTTCACGGCTTAGACTGATGGCTACAACAGCGCGTTACCGTCGTGTGCAACAAAAAAAGTATACAGCTTCCAGTCACCCCAACTACCACACCGCTCGACCTGATCAAATCGGCCGCCGTCGTTCTCGCAGACCCCATCAATGTCCGCACAGCCGTGCTCTCGGAGCTCTTCGCCAAAGTCAGCATCACGCGACCCCTTCGCAACTATGAATATGTCAGAGACGTCATGAACTCGTGGGACTATGATTCGCAAAACGAGCTCACGATCATCGACGCCGACATGGACGGCATCAATCAGGACGACTTGCTGTCATACAAGGTCCCGGAAACCCGACCCGAGGGCATGTCGTGCTTCATCCAGTATTCATCACGCCCTGGCAAGTGGTCGAAACGGTACATGACTCTCCGCCCGGATGGCCAACTGGTCATGGCGAAGAATGAAAAGGCGAAGGAAAAGGACCAGGAAAACATACTCACGCTCACTGATTACGACATTTATTCCATCACCCAGCAAAAGTTGGCCAGAGTCAAGCCACCCAAGAGGATTTGCTACGCGGTCAAGAGTATGCAAAAATCCAACATCTTTGCGGATGAGTCGCAATATGTTCACTTCTTCTGCACAAACGACCGGGGCACCGCAACCACCTTCTACCAGGCCCTTCAACGTTGGCGAAGCTGGTATCTCAAGCACCAAAAGGGCGAGGGAGTCAAGAAGAAGACGCCTGTAGCTACCTCGCGAAACGTGTCTGGAGCAGAACCGAGCCAAGCACAGGCCTCGCACGTCCGAGGGGAATCCGTCGGCTCCCACTATCAACTTGGCGCATTCAAGCCTCTGCTGGACATGAATGATTTCAACAAGGCTCTCGACGATATCGAAGTCCACCGACCTGGAGAGTTTCCAGACGACAAGCCTCTTGCCAAACTCGACACTCAAGCCATGCATGCTCGAAAACGGTCGGTACGGGTGAAGCAGCCACCACCGACGGCATTCAGTAGGAGCGCACTGGCCGCTGAGACCACTTCCCAGCCCTTGGGACGGTCAGGCTCGGTGCGCCGCAGCAGCGAGCAGTCAGACGATGAGACGTTTGCTTCCGGAGGCCTACTCGGACGTGCCTATACTCAACGCCAAGCCGCACTGCAGGCTCGCGAGCAAGAAACTGCCGGCCCCTTTATCGAAGGCCCTTCCTTGCTCAACAACATGAGCCGGCTCACTCCGACGTCGACAAACGAATCCGGGCTGATACGGAGTTCATCGGTGCGGAGTACCCACCAACGTGCCTCGAGCGACCTCAAACGCAGCGCCTCGAGGCGAATACCGGGCATGCCCCAGCCTCTAGTCGACCTAACCCCATCCTACCAGCCCCCACCCCAATTCGCATCCAAGGGCAAAGGAAGAGGCTACAGCCCCGGCTCATCAGCCCAGGGCCCTCTAGTCGAAAGCGCAACCTCCCCCGAAGAAGCCATCAAAGTCCCCTCGTCCACCGACTGGCGTGCCCGCCCGGGCAGCTCGCGCCCCGCCCACGGCACCTATGGCACAAACGGCCACGAACGCACACGCTCGCTCAAAGGCCGGGGCGAGCCCCTTGCCGCCTACACGCAAAACAACCATGCGGGTGCGCCCGAGGATGCCACCAAGGCGTTTACAGGAGGCGGGCTTGTGGCTACGGCGGGGTTTTCGCAGGGCCATGCGCCGGTTGGGCGGGGGGTTATGGATGGGTCCAAGGCCAAGGGGCCGATGCTGGACTTTAAGGATGATTTGCAGTTTGCGTCTGGGAGTTTGTTGTCTGGGCTGCCGAGTTCGAGTGAGCTTGTTATTGATCGGTCGGGTAAGTAGGGTGGGTGTGAGAGGTGGTTTGGTTTGGGGTGGTGGGAGGTGGTGGGTGTTCTTCTTCTTTTCAGCTCTTTCCACTTTGACTTCATCTCGTTACCTGGCTCTCCTTTGTCATTTCCTCTTCCTCTTCCCTTTCTCATCCCTTTCCCGCCTTTGACAAACTCACCCATCTACCTCGTCGATGTAGTCGTAGTGGTTTCCGTTTCCTTGTCTCTCTTTTGTCTCCTGCGCATTGTTTCCACGCCATCAAGATATCCATTTGTTTTTGTATCTATCATCCAACACCCTCGTGATCAATGGAACGGTGTGTTGCACTGCACATGCATGGATGAAGTTGAGCCAAGCGAGGCGAAGTGAAGGCAAGGAAAGTGAAGGAAACCAAGGTCGAGGTTGAGATGGATGTGCACATGGTTGGAAAATCGGCACGGCTGTCGACACTTTCCTCGTGACCAGGGTTTCGCCCGGCTCTTGGCGTCATCTCAGGAGGTGCCATGGAGGGGGGCCACTTTCAACCACGTCGTAGGTTGTCAGCATGGACGACTTGGGCCCTATACACTGTACCTGGAGAGGTGGAGTGGAGTGGAGTGTAGTGCAGTGCAGCGTCATGCAGTCCAGTACAGTCGAATGATAGAAAAGCAATGTCACCACACCGTTGCCTCTCGCCATGAAGCATGTAGGGGTACTCCCATGTGTGTTCTCGCTAGAGTACTCTAGATCCTACTACAGTACAATAGCAAAAGGTACAGTACAGTACAGCACCACCTAGCTGGATTCCAGCCTCCAGTCCCCGCTGCCCCCCTCCCCCGCCCCCTCTCCTCCATGATGCCATATATCACGAGCACAGGTCACGCTGGCTCGGGTACGAGATCACATGCAGTCTTGTGTCGGTGCGTGGGCTTGCAACCCCCTCCCCTCCCCTCCCCTCCCTCCACACCCGCATGCCTGTTTTTTTTTGTTTTTTTTGCAACGGCGCAACCCCGCATTGTCGGCACAATGACGGCAGCCGCCTCGGCATGAAACCAATGGCAGGGCAGGGCGGCGGCGGCTCGGGGATGCGCAGGGCGGGTTTGTTACGCGATTGTTTGGCATTCACTGTGCTGTTGCTGTTGCTGTACTGTACTGTACTGGGAGCTCTTACTCTAGATGCGGATGCGGATGCATACTTGTTGCGAGCAAGACACCACGTGAAGTTTAGTTTTTTTCACACACAGCAGTAGACGAGACGACAAAGTCAAAGCGGTAGTGGACTCCGCGGTTCGCTCCGCTTCTCATTTCCACAAGCAGGACTGTTGAGCTGTTGACTCGGGACCTTGCCTGTTGCGAGGGTGCCGCGATGTCGTTGGGATGGGGGGAGGGTGAAGGGAAAAAAATAATGCAGAGTTTTTTTGGGGGAGTGGTTGGGAGGTGGTGGTTGTTGTTGAGGTGGGATAGGGGGATTGCGGGTAAGATGGTGTAATCACTACTCTAGGATGGTTTGGGGGTGTGGTGGTGGATTGTATGGATTGTGTACTGTACTGTGTGTGTAGAGTACTCTATGTAGCGCACCCTGGGTAACAGGTCATGCTGTTCCACGCTGCGACGGTCAAGTCTGAACTCTCCCCATCGCTCGCCTCGATTTGCTTTTGCCCTTGCCGCGGCGCATGGAAGCGACTGGTCGACGTCATTGTTTCCAAGGTGAGGAGCGCTCTGACCCCTCCCTCCCCAGTCCCCAGCCCAACCTCCCCACGCTCTCGCACCGCTATACCGCTCGTGCTGCGCCCACAAGCGGCTCGCGGCAGAGGACATGCGCATTTCCCCAAAGAGCCTCATAAAGACCACGCATTTTCTCAACGCCCAGCGGCATAAGGCCCGTCTTTGCCTGCAAACCCTAGACCGCGAATGCCTACAGGCTACACACGGCGTCCACGGTCCACAGTAACAAGCATTGAACCCTACCTAGCACCGAAGGATTGAACAGCCCAGAGCTCGTATGTAATTCAATCAAGGTGGTTGGCAACAAGGAAGGAAAGCACAGAGCGACTGGGAGAGTAAGAGAGTGGGAGACTGAGGGATGGAGAGAGAGAGAGAGAGAGAGCAAGACTTCTTCCGCTTGTCTAGCGTGCCCACCTGCAGTAGCTCAACACTGTTCTGTTCCGAGCTATAGCTAGCTGTTCAGCCCTTCCCCCAAACTTTGTGACCGCTGCTCTCTCCACAGTGGGCGGCTGGACTCTCTCTCTCTCTCCTCTCTCTCTCTCTTTCCCCCCCCCCCTCTCTCTCTGCCTTCTCTGCAGCCACACCACCACGCAGACATACACACTCTCTCACACAGACACAGACACACGCACACGCACCGCACACATACACATATATATACATACATATATATAGATACACGCCACCATGGCTGCGTCAACACAGAGAGACGTGCAGAATCACGTCTTGTTCGAGGTTGCGACCGAAGTCGCCAACAGAGGTCCGTCTCATGTCGAGTGGGAGGGAATGCAGGCGAGACGAGGTGCTAACCCGCTGTGCAGTGGGAGGTATCTACTCGGTCCTCAAGTCCAAGGCACAGGTCACTACCGCCGAGTATGGCGCGGCCTACACACTCATTGGGCCATGGAATAGAGCTTCGGTAAGCAGATGCACACCAAATCGGTCGGGAGCAAGTCTGGCTAACAAGAGACCAAGGCGGCTGTCGAAGTCGAACCAATTGAGCCCAAGGACCCGGCCTTGATTGCGACCATGAAGTCCATGGATGATCGCGGCATCAAGATGCTGTACGGCCGATGGCTGATTGACGGTGCCCCGCGCGTGCTCCTCTTCGACACCGGTACCGGCTACCGGTGGCTCGACGAGTGGAAGGGCGATTTGTGGTCCTCGACTGGCATCCCCTCGCCGCCGGGCGATTCGGAGACCAACGAGGCCATTGTCTTTGGCTACCTGATTGCGTGGTTCTTGGGCGAGGTAAGCCCTGCATGGCGCATGCCTTCACACTGGCTAACAGCTCGCAGTATGTCTTCCACGAGAAGAAGCGGGCTGTCATTGTCCAATTCCCCGAGTGGCTGGCTGGTGTGGCAGTTCCCCTGTGCAAGAAGCGCCGCATTGATGTAACCACCATCTTCACCACCCACGCAACGCTGCTGGGTCGCTATCTCTGCGCTGGCTCCGTTGACTTCTACAACAACCTGCAGTTCTTCGATGTCGACGCAGAGGCGGGAAAGCGTGGCATCTACCACCGCTACTGTATCGAGCGCGCCGCTACGCACGCCGCCGATGTCTTCACCACCGTCTCGCACATCACTGCCTACGAAAGCGAGCATCTCCTGAAGCGCAAGCCAGATGGTGTCCTGCCCAACGGCCTCAACGTCAAGAAGTTCCTCGGCCACGCACGAGTTCCAGAACTTGCATCAGCAGCCCAAGGTCAAGATCAACGACTTTGTCCGCGGACACTTCTACGGACACAACGACTTTGATCCCGAGAACACGCTCTACTTCTTCACGGCTGGCCGCTACGAGTACCGCAATAAGGGTGTGGACATGTTTATAGAGTCTTTGGCTCGGTTGAACCACAAGATGAAGAGTGAAAACTCCAAGATGACGGTGGTGGCTTTCATCATTCTGCCCGCGCAGACGACATCGCTGTCTGTGGACTCGCTCAAGGGCCAGGCGGTCATCAAGTCGCTGCACGACACGGTCAACAACATTGCCGAAAATGTGGCCAAGAAGCTGTTTGAGCGCTCGTTGACTTGGACAGAGGGATCGGAGCTGCCAGAGGACAAGGAGCTGCTCTCGCCTGCCGACAAGATTCTCCTCCGACGCCGGTTGTTCGCTATGAAGCGCCACAACTTGCCCCCGATTGTCACCCACAACATGGCCAATGACGCCGAGGACCCCGTGCTGAACCAGCTCCGCCGCTGCCAGCTGTTCAACCACCCCTCGGATCGCGTCAAGGTTGTGTTCCACCCCGAGTTTCTGAACTCTGCCAACCCGGTTCTACCCCTCGACTACGATGACTTTGTGCGCGGAACCCATCTGGGCGTCTTTTCTTCGTACTACGAGCCATGGGGCTACACGCCGGCCGAGTGTACCGTCATGGGTGTGCCCAGCATCACGACCAACCTGTCGGGTTTCGGCTGCTACATGGAGGAGCTGATTGAGAATGCGCAAGACTACGGCATCTACATTGTGGACCGGCGGATGAAGGGCGTGGACGAATCCATCAACCAGCTCGTCGACTACATGTTTGACTTTACGACCAAGAGCAAGCGCCAGCGCATCAACCAGCGCAACCGCACCGAGCGTCTCAGCGACCTGCTCGACTGGAAGCGCATGGGCCTCGAGTACGTCAAGGCCCGCCAACTCGCCCTCCGCCGCGCCTACCCGGCTGCCTACGAGGATGACGACGAGCCCGACTTTTTCGGCTCCCAGGACGTCAAGATTTCCCGCCCGTTGTCCGAGCCGGGGTCGCCGCGGGATCGGTCGGGCATGATGACGCCTGGGGATTTTGCGTCGTTGCAGGAGGGTCGCGAGGGGTTGAGTACGGAGGATTATATTGCGTGGAAGTTGCCGTGAGTTTTTTTTCCTTGTTTCCCTTGTTTTTCCGAAACCAAAGAAGGAGCAGTTTAGAGATGATGAAGAAGAGAAACTGACGAGTGGAAATAGTGAAGAGGAAGAGCCGGATGACTTTAGCTTTCCGCTCACGCTCAAGACGAAGAGTAAGCCGAATTCGGGCGCGAATACGCCGACGCTGCCGGTGGCGGCGAATGGGGCGGATTAGAGATTCGATGGGGTTTTTTGGGGAAAGGGGAATTGGGGTTGGATGGGGTGATTGATGGGAGGGCAAGGCAGGGTGAGGGGGGGATCGTGAGGTGTAAATATGGGGCACGAGTGTGATTGTAGGCATCCAAGAAGAAGGGAAAGACTAGAGTGTCGGACTTGACTTGACTTGACTTGT